AGAAAGGAAGCTAAAGTTTGAAACAGATCAGAATAGAAGAAACTCGCCTTCTCGATAGAAAGAGAAACGAGAACGAGAGCCAACAACGGCGCCAAGGATATTTATACCCATGGCGACCTTTGACGGCCAACGTCGACGTCGTCGTCGAGAACGACGATGCTCAATGAAAATCTCTCTCGTGCCGTCACTCAGAAGAAAGTGAGAGAGAGAAAGAGAGAGAAAGAGAGAGAAAGAGAGAGAGAGAGAGAGAGAGAGAGAGAGAGAGAGAGAGATGGAGAACGAGTTATTGGGTGATATGTGACTCCTTAAATTTGTACGATCAATATCTTTTTTCATATTTCTCTTTTTTCTTTCGATTTTTTTTTTGAACCATAACTCTGTTTATTATAAAAAATTTCATCGATAAATTCGATAAAAATATTTTCAGACACGAACACATATATATATATATATATATATATATATATATATATATATACACGTATTGGTATAATACGTATTGGTATAATCAATTAATAATATTTTAATTTTATAAATTCTTATTAGATTTATAAATTTAAAAGATATGATATGATATATAATATATTAAATTATTTTTTCTTCAATAACATTTCAAATTATTCGTGAATGTATTTGCACGTAGATTGCGTCTAATTTATATATATATATTTATATATATATATATATATATATATATATCAATTTATAATATAATAATTTATACTAACATATAATAATAATAATACATAATAATAATATAATATATATATATATATCAAATGTTTGGTATTTAACTTAACTTAAATTAAATCAAATCAAATCAAATCAAATCAAATCATATCAAATCAAATCAAATCAAATCAAATCAAATCAAATCAAATCAAATTGAACACATATATAAAAAAGAAAAAAAGAAAAAAAAAACAAGAAAAAAAGGAAGAAAGAAAAAAAAGCGAAGAACTTCAAAAATATGTTCGTCGAATTAAAAAAAAAAAAAAAAGAGGAAAAAGAAAAAGAAAAAAGCTTTCGTAAAAAGAAAAAAAAAAAAAAAAAAAAAAAAATTCCTACGAATTTTGTATTGTTGGTCGCAATTCGAGGAGGCGAGAAAGGAGGAGAAAAAGATACCTTACTCGTTTTTTTTTGTGTCTTCTTACGGGGAGAGAGGGAGAGAGGGTAAATGACGCGTCGTTAAGGGCTAACGAGGGAAAGATGGCGATTCCGTAGTAAGTCGGAAGAGAGTAAGGGAAACGAGAGATTGCGTGCTTCGTTGGCAAAAGTCTTGGTGCTTAATTGAAACTGCCGACTAAGCGAAAGCTTTTGCTTTCGGCAAGCGTGACTTAGATCACGCACGATTTCCGCTATTTTATTCCCCCCCTCCCACTCTCTCCTCCTCCTCCTCCTTCTCTCTCCTTCTACTACCTCCCCATCACAATTTTTACAATCCTTAATCCCCTCTTTCATCGTTTAAGTATCACTCAAAGAAGTATATCTTAAGAAATCAAAAAGATCTTCTCTGTATTTAAAGTGTGATCAAATTTTTTTTTTCTTTAACTTTTAAATTATAAAGATAAAAAAAAAGAAAAAAAAAAGAAAAGAATGACGTCAGATAATTTCATGGAAAAAAAAAAACAGAGAGAGAGAGAGATATATATATATATAAAAAAAAAAATTTAATCACTGATTACTTTATTCTCTTTCTGTCTTTTTTTTTTTTTTTTTTTTTCTTTTTTTTTTTTTCCACGCACATATATCTATACAATAGAGATGAAAATATTATAAAATAAAGAGAGGCCCTTTAAGGATAACTTCGTTTTTAGTTTGACGATTCAATTTTGCCAAGTAGAATGTGAGAGGTAGGGGACGGCTACTAACAAAAGTTTGACCATAACGTTGAAGATAATACCTATAAGTTGAAGCTCCAAAAGTTTATCGACGCTTTATGAAACTGTTGTCTATAGATCGTCAGTAGAAGCTTATGAAAGTCGAGCTTTTTTCTCAAGCACTTAGACAGCTTCCTTTGTGTGTCTTTCTCTTTTTCCCTCTCTCTCTCTCTCTCTCTCTCTCTCTCTCTCTTTCTTTCTCTCTCTATCTCTATGTGTGTGTGTGTGTGTATTTGATCAAGAGCACGTTCATGAAAGAGCGACCTTTATAACCCTTCTTCGATCACTATCGGTACCATTTATTCCACTCGATACGCATTCCTCGATTAACATAATATCAGGTTAATGAACTATTCGAGGATTATCATTTGTTTATTAATTATTATAATATTTAATTGATATTAATAATGCAAAGGACTTAGAAGATTAATAAAAATAATAAAACAATGCGTAACATATTATTGATCGTATTCTCATTCTCTCTTTCCCACCACCCACCCCTTTTTCTTTTTTTTTTTTTTTTTTTTTTTTTTTTCTTAATTATACGAGCAACTCGTTACAAGTCAAAAAAAAAAAAAAAAAAACCAAAAGAAAAAGAAAAAGAAAAAGAAACGAAGAAA